GCTAAATCCTCTTAGTGATCTGGATAAAGCTCAATGTTCGCGTCATGATGTTCGCGATGATTTACTTAGACGATTTACCACGCCGCCACCGACAGCTCATGGTGAAGAGCGACAGTGAAAATGGCTGAGTGACATCGCCAGGCGGGAGACTACGAACTCAAATACACACGTTACACGTCACTGTTATCATACGATTTTCAGGGCACATGTAACTTATTTTTGCACCGCAATGTTAGGAAGGACTGCCTTTCACGACCAGATTTTCACAGATTCCATATGTCCCTAACGTTCTGCTCCATCGCAAGATCCGGGCATCAACAGAACCTGACGGGTGGCAACTTCCTGTTTCTCAAGATTTGCATTCTGCTACATCCAGTTGTCTGCATTTTATGAATAATTTATCTCTAAAAAGGGTTGATTGGCACATGAGCAGCACCTGGTTGCTGACGTCACAGGGCTTGGTAGTCAACTACGTCGGCTGACCACGTCATTCGTCGATTTGGATTTCACCAGGCTTTCACCTTCAAGTTGTCGAGGCAAAGCAGGACCACCGATTCAGGATCAGGACGTGGGTGAGTTCCTAATTACACTTCCGTGACATGCCGCATGCTATTATTTAATACTGCTCTGGTATAAACGTGTTAAATTCACTTCGGATGATTAAATTCTTCCAGTGTTGTATCAACAACATGCTTTTCCTAGAGTGTTCTACCGAAAATTGCAGCGTACGCAAAACTGAACACGCGGGGTTAATGACGCGTTATCGTACAGCCATCTTGATTATCTTGAATTAGTAATTGAATCATCAAATCTATTTTATTTCTTAAAGTTGTTTGCAGTATAATAATTCCACCAAGCCTATCTTTTAAAAAATGGATTGATAGCTAAAAAATAGTTCTCCTGCGCACTGTAATGAGAGTGATTACGGGAGCTGTCTTTTGATAACTTGCAAATAAAAGTTAAAATGTTTTGTTCATGGGCATTATTGAGTAACTTTTATATAACTATATACTAGTGTATTCTTAGGATTTGAATATGTTTTAAATTTTGATAGCAAAAAAAAAAATTGACATTTTTTCATGGAATTCACTGTGGAAAGACAATTTATTCACATTATACTTACAGCAACAAAGGCATTCAATCATCTTTATAAATATTTATAAATTTCAATGGCAGTTAAATCAAACCAGCCAATCAGTGAGCACAGTGTTTGACTATGTTAATTAAAAACATTCCTAGGTTATTCAATCTGCCAATAGAAACCTCTTGTTCACACAAATGTTCTATTGACAACCAGCAGTGCGTAATGAGGCGTTTGTATGCAGGTGATATTTTCTATGCAAAAACTCGAAAAGCTTGTAGGAGTCCATATGGAGGGGAGTGGGGATTTTCAATTTGTGCATTTGTTTAGATTTGTCAAGTCAAGATTACGGTCCCCATATAGTAAATATCAGTAAGTTAATGGCAGTTATTTGTACGCCAGCTGACTGGTCGTGTAGGTGCCATTCACTCAAGATGACAAATGACACTGTGGCTTTAGCAAAAAATGTTTTGGCTTGCAATATCCGGTATTAGATAAAATAAATTACCAGCAGTATGGTGCCTCTTCCTTTATGATTGTGTATTCCCCTCTTCAGAATGTGTCTATGGGGGCTGGAGATCAAAATCGGAAATCAGAAACTATCGGTATTTGGGTTCTGTAGGTCATTCAGTCTGGAGTCTATTTTTCAAACCGGCTTTGACTGTTCACATAATTTTATTGACATTATTCATTTTGAATAGAATATAGTCAAATGCTATTCTAAAAAACAAAAAAAAGATGAAAATATCATCTACATGCACATTTCCCATAATTTATATGAACTTCATTATCTAACATATTGAAATGATTTGAGATTTGTGCTGATTGAAATACTGTAGAATACTTTATTTTCGCTTGAAATTTATTTTCGCTGAAGGGATGAATCCGTGAAAATAAAATCCAGCGAATATACTTTTTTTCCTATATTTCACATTAAACTCATCAAAAATCAGTGAAAATAAATTCCATACAAAATGCCCAAAAAGCCTTTTCAGCGAAAATTAATTCCAGCAAAAATAAAGTATTCCACAGTAGCCTAATTCTTGCTTCTTTGTGTTAACAATCTATCAGAAATTGAAATTCATCCTCAACTTTATTAGTACAACGCCTTTCACACTTTATCATCAGCTCTTGTTTTTGGTCTTGTATGACTACCTTTCTCTATCATTAAATTATTTAATTCTGAGTTTGCCAAAATGTTTCTTGTCTTAAAATTGCAGGTCAAGATGGTGAACAGAGTAATTCATCAGATAGTCCTC